ATTAGGGCGCTAAACCTATTCCAGTGCGAGATTGGATTGGTGTTTAGTATAAAATCGAAGAGAAAACGAGTCATTCCAAGCAAGATGTTCAAGATAAAGGAATAAAGGGAAGAATCAATAAGAAATATAACATAAAACCGTAATGAAAAAGAGCGACTAGAATTTCAACTCGAAATTTTAGAAGTGAGTACTGGAATTGCTACAATTGCCTCAACGAGAGCAGTTGTCAACATCATTAGTGCCTCAATTTATTTCGTGGTAAGAAATTCATTATTGGTTAAACAATTATTTCATTATGTTTTGCTTTTCTTGATGACAAACATCTAAATTGGATGTACTAATGAATATGATTAACTAAAGGAAATGTTTTACCAAAATCATGTACAGTCATGTTGAGAATAAGAAAAAAAAAAAAGATTAAGATAGCAGGTATTAATGTGGAAGGTGAAACACATTCAGCTCCATACACATTCTTTGCCAGCTTAGGTTGCTTAAAAATCTACAAGGCCAAGCCCGAGTCGACCAAACCAACTTGCAGAACGATCTGATCAAAATAATATGGATTTGGCCTTGTTCATACTGTATGAAAAATCGAAGTTGGAATTTAAAGTCATAATAGAGTCACATAGAGTAAAGAAATAGAATAATGTTATTTGCACATAATGAACTTAAATAATGATTTTCATAAATATGAGATGTCAAAAAGAGAGGTAGAGCGTTTTTTCTTTTTTTTTTTTTGAAGAAATTTTGTTTAATCATATATATCACCACATTATATGTATGTAAACCATTATCAGGGACGGATGTAGGGGGGACTCAGACGAGCTGTAGCCCAGTCCAATCTCCAGACCGCTGATTTTTTTTTTTTACGTATTGGCCCGCTTGTAATTAGGTATTGGGTCTATTCCTGACCATTATGTACATGTGGCACGATCGAAACAAATAAAGGAATCAACTGCGCGAGTCTTTTTCACCAATGTGTTTGTTCTCGAAATATCCAGAACAGTTAGATCTACGACTTTCTGTGCTTGCTATGTAAGTATCGGGGGAATAAGAAAATCCGACAAGTAATGCATTCAGTAATTAGCACGTCAAAAACATGATAAACATCACCTTTTGTTGTATCCAAAGTTGGAAATTGAGGTCAATATTGAAACAAATACATTAACCAAATGAAGGGTTCAAGAAACCTTGGCCTTATTATAGAAAATTAGAACAAATCCACATCTCTACGAAGGATGAACCTTTTTAGAGTTGGAAGAAGAATCTGAGTTTGCTGCAGCCTCGATATACTTATTTGAAGCAAAAGTGGCTGCCTTCTTCATTGATTTGCCCATTTTTCTTGAAGCCACATTCGCTAAGCTGTCATGCTCAGCCATGGCCATCCTATTCATTTCCTTCTCGAAAACACGATATTCTTCCATGGCACTTTCCATTACAGAATCCAAATAGTCCTCAGTTTTCTTCATGTAAATTTCAGCTTCTTCGACTTCTTCTTCTTGCTGGAGCTCGACTCTGGCCCACGCCTTGTAAGCCTCTACTTCAAAGAGTCTAAGGAGATTTTCAACGGTAGATGGATCAAAATTTTTGTTTTGGAGAGATTGATCTGAGAGGAATGTGAACTCAGAAATGAGTGTTTCCATTGTGTTTACTTGTGATTTGAGGGTAGTGAATGGAGAATCACATAAAGAGATTATATTCCAAATGGATTGGTTTTTAGCTAGAACCTAAAGAATGTATAGAAATTCTTTAGAATGAAATATGTTCTCCAAGAAAGTGTTTAATATATTATATCGGACAAATATTTTTCGTCCATCACTACTTTAGCATATATATATAGACAATATATTAAACACAATTTTAATTTTAACGATTTCGATTTTAAGTTTCAACTAAACATTATGAGCATGTTTGGCTAGGTTTAAAATCTAATTAAAATTGAAAATATAGTCGTTATTAGATCACACTCGTTTAATAAAAGTCAACAATAACGGCTAGTTTTTCAATTTTAATCCGATTTTAATCTCTACCGAACACGCCTGTATTTATGTAAATTTAATTTTTTTTTTTTTTAATTCTATTTGGATTGATTATCTTATCTATTTCATAGTTGGGAATCTAAATTAGTGGTGGAGTGGGCCATTGTGTGTCGTTTGTCAAAGCAAAGATGCTATTCC